TTTTTTTTTTTTTTTTTTTTTTTTTTTTTTTTTTGGCGATTATTTGTAGGTCTAGGAAAGCAATCTTGAAGACGAAAGAAGAGATAGAGGAGAAAGTGAGTAAAGAAGACTGGCGAAAAGAATTTAGAAAAATACGATGGTTAGGTTATAATCATAAAATAGAAATGAAGTTTAGGGAATTTGTAGAAGTTATTTGCATGGTTGAAATAACTTAACAGCATTTTCTCGATGTAAGCCGCCCTGAGTTTGGTGTCGATGTCGGAGCGGAAGAGCGGTGAGGAGCTCACTCTTTTTGACTCAATTGTTTTTGGAAACATGAAGCTGTGGATGATTTGGAAGGCAATAGATGAGGGCAGAGGAACTTTGTTGGGATTAGGCGAAGCAACCTCTTGGACAGAAACAATGACATTTTCAACATATGTGAGTGGAATATCATCTGTGTCATCTACATAGCCAAATAAAGGGTTGCCGACAAAAACAGAAAAGAAGAGGAAGGACGATTACAATGAGAAAGAAAAAAAAAAGGAGATTCAGATTCTGAAAGGAAAAAGTTCGTTAAAAGTTATGAAGGGGGGTTATAGGGGGTTTTGTTCAAGTAAAAACTGAAAAAAGCAGAAAGCCAAAGATGTATACGGAAGTAAAGAGGGAGAAGAATTAATGGAGTTTGTGTGGGAAGTCACAGTGAAAACCTTTAAATATGAAAATTTTTGTCGGATTGTTTTCTGGAGTTTTTTTGTATCTTCAGTTCAACCGTTTTTTATTTGTTTAGTGTAATGTAAAATAATGGTTTTTTTCCTTTTCATATCGTTATTTATGTTTAATTTTGTCCGTTGTCACTGAAGCATACGGTGTTGTTATAGTGGGAGAATTTTAGTCCTTTAAATTTTTTCTCTTTTTTTTTTCCATAAAAAGGAAAAAAATTCTTGGAATCCTGAGTTTAAGAAGGCAAACTTCAGGCTGGGAAAAAAATTTTATTACGCTATATTTGGCTACTTGGCTAAATTGTTTGGTCAGAGTAGCTGTAACACTTCAAACATTCGTAGGGCTAGTAGAAAAGTTATAGAATCGGAAAAAAGGAGGTCTCTATGTTCTGGGATGTTGTTAAAAACGGACAAAAGTGGACAAAAAGAGGAACTGTCAAAAGTATCGGCGGCCGGACCAGATCAGGCGGCAGCAACGACAACACCTCCCTCAAGTCCAGAAAAAAAAAAGAAAGGTGGCGGAAATAAATTTCTAAGGAGGCCAACTGTGACACCGGAAATACCGGGAAGTGCATTAGAAGATGTGGTGGCAAATCGTCGCCGACAAACGCAAGTACTTCACGTACGTGAAAGTATACTTCATGAGGAAAAAAACGATTCGACACAAGTAAGCTATTATTTTTTTGCAGGGAACTTTTTTCTTTTTTCTTTTCTTTTTCTTAATTCATTGCTCTTATTTATCTTCATCATTCTCGGCAAACTCTTATTAA